GAAAGGAAAGGAAAGGAAAGGAAAGGAAAGGGAAGGAAAGGGAAGGGAAGGGAAGGGAAGGGAAGGAAAGGAAAGGAAAGGAAAGGAAAGGGGAAAGGAAAGGAAAGGAAAGGAAAGGGGAAAGGAAAGGAAAGGAAAGGAAAGGGGAAAGGAAAGGAAAGGAAAGGAAAGGAAAGGAAAGGAAAGGAAAGGAAAGGAAAGGAAAGGAAAGGAAAGGAAAGGAAAGGAAAGGAAAGGAAAGGAAAGGAAAGGAAAGGAAAGGAAAGGGACGGAGGGAGGGAAGGGAAGGAAAGGGAACTAAGGAAGGAAGGAAGGAAGGAAATCCCCAAGCTTGCCGAGCACTAATGCGAAATGCCGGCCAAGCAATGAAACCTTAATTACAAACCACAGCTCTCGACTCACAACATGTTCAGCGCTGACACCAGAGCTGCTCTCAGCTGCTCCTGCCCTGGCGGGAAGGAAGAATTGAAGATTATTCCACCTAGGAGCGTGGACCAGCTTCAATCTGCCATGTGTAGGTCTGCAACCCTGCAGTCACTGTGCAGAGGTCTACTAATGCTAAAATGGCTGTGCGTGCCCGGGGGAAAAATAAACCTACAGGTTTCTCTCTGACCTCCAACTGCAATTTGCCTTAATTACAGCATATGCCTATTTTTATATTTCAGAAAGAAAATGACTTGAAATTGCAGCCTACTTCACTGCTGCTGTGTGCCGATGTGGACTGCAGGGAGGGGGAACACTGGCTGAATCAGGAAAGGAAAAATCAATGCAGGAAAAAGTTTCCAGAGTAGCCATTAAGCAGCTCAATGCATAAATTCGCCTCACTTGCAGCCCAAGTTTCAAAACCCTGTTTAAACCCGGGAGCCCTGCAACACTGCTCTTTTTTCCCCTTCTCCCATGGAAAGCGTGCATTGGTGCCTGGTGCAGTTCCTCAGCAAGGCCGTGAAGGACAAATCCCCTTTCCTGCGTTTCCTGTAGAGCTGTGTAGCTCCATGCTGCTGCACCACGGCCAGGCTGCTTCCACCCAGGCGCTGGCCACAGCCTTGAACCCTGGACAAGGGAGCCCTGGGTAGGAGCCACTTATTCCCATCCAGAACAGACACTCAGCACTTAGCTTCCCTTTCGGAGGGAGAGAAGGCAGCCCTAAGCAGTGATGTCTGGAAGCCCAAGCTGAGCATAAAACAAACACAGTGTGAAATAATGCATTTTTCCATAGTCAACCTCGAGAAAATGGAAAAGCGGGAAGAACCCTCTCATTGCATTTCTGGAAGATATGTTCTAGACAAACAACAACATTGGTTTTAATAATTACCCTTGAAGTCCATTTGTCCCCTTAAAAATACCTAGTCACACCTCTACCGAATAGAAAACCCCGGCGAGCTTCACTGCAAAGAAACCCCAAATGTGGCCATCAAAATACTACAGATGACTTAAGCTGGACAAAGCAAATGAGTTAGGGCATCAAACACCCACTCACCAGCTGTCCTGGCTGCCTTATTTTGGCTCACCCCACTGTGACCACCTCCAAGCCCACCTTGCAAAGGGATTGAAGCCTTCGGGGGATCTTAGAGGACTCAGATTTGCAGCCCGAGGAAGGCTGGAAACACAGCGGCAAGGGCTAAAACTAGGTTCATTTTAGAGGCCAGCAGTACAGTTCCACGCCCAGAGCAATAACCATATCCAAAGCTAACAAATATTCTCCCCTCCAGACCTACCTGCCATGGAGGGCAGGCACGTTGCGGGTCAAAAATCCTACAAAACATCCTAGCTTGCCAATCCTACAAGTGGAACTGTCGGAAAGTAAATTGCTGCTTGAATATCCAACCCCCATGCAGCCACAGAGCTCAGGGAAGCCTTTCTGTGCAAGAGGCGCCAAATTCCTGCCAGCACAGCCATGTGCCTCCAAACAAAGAGCATAAACCATATCCTCTTGAAGAAGGGGCACTCAAGAACACTATCAGCAAATAAAGACCAGCGTGGCGGGCAGAAGATAAGCTACACAGGCTGTGTCTCTATATACATTAGTAGTTTCTTAAGTAGTATCTTCATGGCATGCTCTGACTTAAAAGAAGCCATGAATAATCTTTTGGACCAATTATTTTATCAATATTTCAAATCCTATCCTATTTGAATATAGATAAAAGTACCAAGTCATCACTCTGAAAAAGAATTAGCTTTGCCCCAGCTACCTTGCTATTACTTCGGATATATAATTCAGGTAGATAACACACGACTGTACTACATCTTGCAAAATTTCTGCCAAAAAAGTACGCTGAATTCTAAAGACTTGAAACAACTTAAAAAAGGCTACAGACACCTCACCACACAACATACTGAGTCAGGGCTCAGGTAAGGGAACAGTCATGAGTCTGTACTGTACAGTTATGAGCACTGGGTAGAGTGAAAAACATATAGGCTTTGCCAGTAATTGTTGCAATTAAAGGAAAGACTGTTCCATGGTGAAGCAAACATTTGGGAAACAAAGACTCTGCTAGACACTGAAGTTCTGTCCTGATGAATGAATGATAAGCACCAAAACACAATGCAATGTCAGAACTTTAGAAACACCCTAATGGGTGTCCTCCCATTTGGTAGGGATTGCCAATTAGAGGAAGTAAAAACTTTCCTTTGAATGAACGACAATGAATGCATTGTTTGAACAAGTCTTTCATCTAAAACATTTATGAAATAGGGCAGTAATAAAAGCATTTACTTTTGTAATACCTCCACGAGTTTGTTTTTACATGTCCCAGTAAGTAACTGTCATTTAGAGCAAAGTATTCCAAACAACTGTTATTAGTAGATTAAAAAAAAAATCCTCTTAAAATAGAGCCAAATACAACTCAACGTTTTAAACACTGTTAGCAAAACTAACCCATGGTACACCTAGGTTCGCATATCACTTACCATATACGAAGGGAATATTAAAACCCGTTTATGTTTGCCACAGGGCCATTGAGGATCATCTAGAAGATTTGGATCATATTCAACATAGTCTCCCAGTTCGCTACCTGTAAGACAATAGCATGTATAAGAAAGGAATTCATTCCATCAAGAAATTTCTACACTTAACATACCTGGCAAACAAGTTCACAGGTAATGCACAAAATGATCTTCATGAAGGATTTTTGAAAGAAAATGAAGATTTTGATTAATCCAACTCTAACTCTTTCTATAATAAAATAATTTGCAAAGATATACAGAACCTACAGCTTATGAGCTATCTAGTAACTGTGAAATGGAACTGCAAAACTGTTCACCTAGAAAACTGCAAAATTATATAAAAATCCCTAATTAAGCCACAGGCTATAAGTCTGCCAGATTAATGTGATTCCATATACGCTGCCATGTCCACATGACAGAAAAGTGAGCAGAAAAGTATTCCTGACTTCTAAGCACAGCAACAAGTTTTCATCTGCTTATGCAAATGCTTTCATGTATTGCAATTAACATGCCAAAATATCCTCAGTGCATAGGGTTTTGGCTAATGTTTTGTGCCTGGTTCTGTAAATACAGCTCTTCCTGCTCTAATGAAGGTCACGGGCATGGTTTACACTTCCAGCTTATGACTGCCTGTTGTTGCTGTATATTTTCCATAGCAAAGCAGGGCAACGATGAGCCATACGTCAGAGGAACAGCAATCTTGTTTAATTAACTTTCCATGAGGCGCAAGCCAGTGTGGCTAGAAAAGCACAGAACAACGTTGTAAAAGACACCCCAACATCTGTACAACATGCAACATCAGCTAGAGACGACGTTCTGCTTACGTTGAGCAAAAAAGGGGTTAAAGGGGCTGTAACTTCCAATAACTGCCTCTCACAAGGGCCTGCAAGGATATTAAAACAAGCTGCTTAATAAGCTACCTGCATCGATGCTCCCTTGGGTGCTGTTAGCTCTTGCCAAAGAGAGGCTGCGATGGCTGGCGTTGCGGAACTGCGAGAAGGACGAGGTGGAGTCGATGGTGTTCCTCCGCGCGCCCAGGGCGTTCGTGGGAAACAAGAACTGCGTGTAAGAAACCGTCTAGAAAGAAATTCAGAGCGAACAGGCAGTTACTCTCAGCCCAGCTCAGGCACAACACGATTCATTCCGTGCCTCCCAGTTTGAAAGGGAAGCTAAATTAGTGAAGAATTTTTTTTTTTTAGATTTGATAATTAGGCACAGCTGAACATCAATCTCCTGTGTCTGCTGCAGTGTAGTCAGTTCATCCACGCACAAAAGATTTTTTCAAATACATTCATATTTTAGACAAAATAAAACAGCAAACACACATATAAATGTTAATATACTGGACTTATAAAATCCTACGCAAGAAGCCCACTTAAAAACATTTCAATTTGGTCTTTGGTCTTCAGCACTACCTGAACTTGAGCATTTATCTCGTCTTTTTCTGTTTCAAGACTTGGCAAAGTCTGGTGCCATATGAGGGGTACTAGTCTACAGCAGCGGTTGCTGGAGATCATCTGCTACCTACCAACGTGGACTACGTTTGCGTGAATAATTTGTGACAAAAATATTTTTAAAGGTTGCACCAATTTTCTCCTTGCACACTTGGACAGAAGTAGACTATGCCTTGCTTCTCATAGGTTTGTTTTCTTTATACTGAAAAAAAAAAAAAGTGTCAGCCCCGAGACTGATTTATGAGCAGGTCCGAACAGGTATCAAATAAAAGGTGTGAGCTCTACTTTATATAAAAGTGGGCAGATTGCCCTCAGTAATTTTCAGCCTGCTGTCTGGCCTGTCACTTGGCTAGGTGAGCATGCACTGCCTAGCAGCACAGGCCCAGGATCTTAAAACAAATAAATGACAGGAGACTGGATGAATAAACTGTAAAAAATGAATTAGGATTTCAGCCAAAAGGCTTTCATTTATGAATGAAATCAAATCTCTTCTATATATTTGCTGAAAATGAATCATTTTGCCTGAAGATTCACAATTACTTTTTCTATTCAAATGAGTGCACTCGCAGATTTTGAAATACTCATCAGGTTAGTACTAGCGTGTTTTTGCTCTTTTGGACAAATACACTGTAAAGTTTGTTTTATTAAATAAAAGTGAAAGCAAATGAAATTACCGCTTGTAACTATTACCAGAAATTATTTTCAAGCTGCTGCCAATATGCTCTGCAGTGATACCCAGAGCCAGGGGAATGCTGTGTGATTCTGAGTGTTGTCAGAGGTGGATTTCTTCAAGGAAACAAAGTGGTTTGCACTGACAGGTTGGACAGTCCTCTTACATTTGTGCTCATTTTATTTATAATTTTTACACATTCTGCTTTAACTACTGTGGTGCACTACACACTGCAATTTATTTTCATATATAGATGGCATATATAGATGATGGATATAAATATCTGTCACCAGTTACATCATGTTTTTCCCTTATCGCATGGTATCAGCAGACGAGGAACTGAGGAATTCCCACCTTCCCATCCGCTCCCAGCTCCACACCTTCAAGCCCAATTATTTCTTTCAGACACACTCCCGCAGAATGGCACTGACGTCCTCCGTCCAACTTCACATCCCTGCAGAACAAAACCCAGAGGTCAGCACCCTTTTCTTCTGAGAAGCAGAGACATCTTTTAATGCACACACCTTAAATACTGAAGCTGAAATAAGGTAACAGTGATAATCCAAGCGTATTTGGATCCAAATGCATCCTACAGGCAGTGCTGTGCTGTTTAAAATACTCCATCGCTCTAAGTTACATAAAAACCCAAATTTTTGCTAGGTTGCACTTCATCTTCCACTCATGGTGCAAAAATCAGTTCCTAATAACCAGACAGAATTTAGAAGTAGGAGGGAACCAGGAATCATATAAACTTCAGGTGGGACCCAGTGACCTTGCCTAAACACTTTATCACCTCCACCCTTCTCAAGCGGAATAGCGCCTGGGGAAGCTGCCAGCAGGGATTCCTGCTCATCTAAGCACTGCAGGGTGTTTCAGGCCAAGTGATGAGGCTCTGCTCCTTGAGGCCATCAACAGGAATCCTGCTTTCCTTCCATCACCTGCGGACAGAAACTTGGGTATTTATTTTCAGAGGACTGATCCCTTTGGTGTTTTACACTTAAACGACATGCAAGGAGAATCAGGCTGAAGCCCATGCTTTAGCCCCAGAATTGAGATGACAGTGAAGGCAAAAAAAGACTATAAGTGAATTTGTGCTCCAAAAGTAATGAATCTTTGCAGCTCCAGAAAAATTTATCTTGTGATATTTTGCTGGCTGATAAGCACTTAGGTCCAAGGGTGTGCTTAAACACTGTGCCTGCAATTTAAATTAAGCATATACTCAATCATCTCTGCTTGAACGAGGTTTTGCTTACCCTCATTCCAGCATCATTTCTAGGTGCGTGTGATCCAGCTGGTTTCAACAGGAACAACAACTTCAGTTTGTTCAGATTACTTAAGTATAAAAAGGTGCTGAAGAGCTTCACTGCATCACGGCCTGCAAGTTTTTATCTCAAATCCAGTGTCATCACGTGAGAGAGGCTGACACTAAACCCTAGGCACAGGCATCCTGCATTCTCCTCCCATGATGGCTGGACTGGCCTCTTTTGCATTTTCTCTTTGCATATCCCATTTCCCTTTATTCAGTTTGCAACCTGTCATTTACTTTATTTCTTTGAAAAATGGAAACAAAGTTGTTCCTAAGAAACCATCTATCTTACTTTGGAAAAAAATAAATCCGACATATCTATCTGCTGGAAAACATATTCCTGTGACAAAGGAAAATACCGGATCAAGAGTTTAATACAAACAATGTCCTCTTGATTTCCTGACTGGGATTCATTTAGCACAATGCCACATTATCATTCTGTTTCCTGATAGCAAATTACTAAGAGGTTGAAAAAATAATCATGTAAAAACATCCATCTACCAGAAGCATCAGGTTAGTCTCTCTGTTCCTGTGCAGAACATTCTTCAGGTAACTATTTTTTATGGAGAAAAATATTAAGCAATAATTATTTCAGTAGGCCTTAACTAAGAAACAGAATACACAATTGAAAAAGCCCCCCAAATCAAAACAAAAATATGAAATATCTGAAATAATATCAGCATAAGTTAGCTTCCTCCCCGCAAAATCCTACAGACACAGACTAGGAAATAAGGGCACTGTGCCTATGAAAACAAGTCCCGGAGAGGACTCTCCGTGCAGGCAATAGGAGACATGAGAGCAGAGAGAACTTTGCCACCGCCTCAAAGGCACAGCCGGCACCCTGGGACAACTGAGCACAGCAGCTTCTCAGCAAGGAGCCATGCTGGGGACTGAAGAGAAACGGGCTCTTTGGAGCAGAGGAGCAGGGTCAGCGGCAAGCGCAAGCCTGCTCTGGAGGGAAAGCTCAGCATGTGTAGGCAGCAAGTGACCACTGGGCTTGTAAAACTGAGTAATGAAGTATCACTGCCTGGGAAGAAACTCACTGTCCTCAAAACGGAGAGAATTTAATTCGCTTTCCTGAGGACAACTCGTTCAAAACACGTGTACTGTTTCTCAGGGGTGTACAAATGTGAAAGATCATGCTAGTTTATAGCGATCCTCCTTACACCAGTGAAAGATCCTGGCGAAGCTGCAATCCCTAAGCTACTTCACTGCATTGTTTTTGTGTTCCCTGTTACTAAGACCAACAGCAAATCAAGCTTTTGCAGGGCAAAATTTGATTTTTTCCCCCATTCCTATTACAAAGAAGTTCATGAATTTTGCCTAGGAGAAGCTGTTCTGGGGTATTTGCTGACTGAGCCAGCTAAATAATACTAGTAATCACCATCCCCCCTTTCTGGAATGCCTGCTGACTGAGCCAGCTAAATAATAATAATAATCATAATCACCATCCCCCCTTTCTGGAATGCAAGTGAAGTCAGGTTATGGTTGCTCTTGTGGGAACTGTCATTGGTGGCAAAGTGAAAACAGAGCATCCCCTGGGTGCTCAGGGAGCTCCTCTGCCTGGAAGAGCAAGGCCAGGGGCTGCAATCCTGCTGCTGCAGGAATCCCAAAACAGCCCCTTCTTCATGCAACTTTGGGGACCCCGAAAGGTTTCTGAGAGCAGCTAGGCAGGAGTGGGAATATGTGTTGGCTTGTCTATCTACCTAACAGGCAAGTCATGCCCGGGAAACTGCCAGGGCGGTTTTGGGGGCAGGGACAGCGTGGAAAGGGCTGCCGCAGAGCCAGGCGCCGCCATCAAGACCTCCAAGACTCGACCCCTCTGTGGTCAGTGGGCTGCGTGGAGGAGGCACCAGCTGGAGGACGGGCACTTCAAAAGGTGTCAAACTAAGTTTAAGTAATTCATATTACTGTAGCACCAAGTTGCTACGTAAACCAGTGTCCATCAATACAAGGCGTTGAAAAAACACAGAGTAGAAAAGATAGTCCTTGCCAAAGAGGACTTTTAGCAAAGAAAAAATTTACTTCTTTTCCTCAATTTTGACTTTCCTGGGATTTATTTTCCAAAAGCATTAAAAAAAAAAAAGGAGAATTTGAGAAGATGCCAAAAAACTAAAATAAATCATGGGAACTTAATTTAGCAACCTTCAATTTATCTGAGCAAGGAAAGCTTAAGGAAACGACAAGATCAGAATGACATTTCCTTGGGAGTGAAAAAAAAAGAACCCACTTCCCCACAGAGTTTGGGGAGTTACCTTGGTTCACATACATGTCAGACTCTAGACATCCTATTTGTGCATCCCATTTCCACAACGCATGCTGCTGAGAGGTGTCAAAAGCCACGCTCAGAACTAAGCCGATCATTTCAGTTACTTGAGACTGAAGAAAACAAAAAAAAGTTTCTGCCCCTAACTGTTCTGGAACAAGAACTGTGTTAAATTGTGAATGCAAATTTACTGTTGAATAATGACTATTTTACCTGAATTCTACCTTTACCTGGAGTATTGAATAAACAAGAATAAAAACAGGATACATCAGCCTGTGCATTTTATTAGTCAAGCATGAATTAACAGAATATAAATTGGATATTAGTAGCTTTGGAAGTGTAACATTTCTTTAATAAACCAAAAATATAAAGCGCACTTGCTCTTTAAATGACAGCAACAGTTGAACACTTTAACCTGTGAATAATTTAGGAGTCAATTAAATATTAAATAGATTTCTAGACACATTAAAAAAAAATCCTTTCAACTTATTGCAAAAAGGATCTGATAACTGTTATTTAGAGATGTGATCTTTTGTGGCTGTATTTTATGCTTAGTGATTCCTAACTACTAAGGCAGCTCATGAGACATCAAGAGAAAATTCTGTCCTTATTCCTTGCTGCAAATAATTTTTACTTGCTGCCTCTGTTTATGGGGACAAGGAAAATGAGAGTTTTGGAAGGGATGTGCTGCCAGCCAGCCCAGAGCGTTTCTCCCATTGGCAACACTGATTAAGGCTGCCCGCTTTAATTGATCTTTGTTTTCAGACCCTAATTGCCACCATGATTGCTGGAACAACAACTCTATCTGCAATTTACAGGGAAAGGAGGTGGAGAGACTGGTGGAAAGACTCCTCTAATGGGCCCGTATCCTTTTTTAGGTTTTTCTCTCCCTCTACTCAGGTATCAACATGTCAGCTCTTGTTTTGACGTTTTGTCCAACAGGGAGAAAAAGCTCAAAATTAAAAGGTATTACTCTGGGGGGATTCATGAACCTCACCAAAGAGTGAGCATCTTACGATGGCTCTGTAAAATTTATACATTAGATTATTTGGTCTGAAATGCCCTCTTGCATGAGAACAATCTGGATTTATCTATCTTTCTGTAAAGGCAATATGCACTTGTTTATGCTTTTTGTTCTGGTTGGGAGAGAGGAGGGTACTGGGTAGTAGCAAGGAATGTGGGCAATGGTAAAGAAAAGCATTCCCTGTTATATGCTAAAAATAGATAGTTATTATTCCCAAAGTCTCTGAAATGATAAATGCCCAGGAAATGCATCCGAGTGATGATTTAATCAAAATTGCCTCGCGTGCAAAAATCCACTGGGGGAGAATAGCAAGAAACTTGGTAACAAGTCAGAACAGTGTCCTGCTTCGCTGTGTGCCCTTTTTTACAATCCAAAGGGCAATTTTGAAGCTCTCATTTCTCCTTTAAATGTTTCCAATTTTCTGCATCCACAGTAGCACCTCTTACCTGGCCTGCCAAGCTCACTGACCGTGGTGGTCAAACTCACCTAATGGTTTCGTTGTGCCCCGCTCTGCAGCCAGTGCCAGCGCCTGGCCGGCTGATGCCCTGGGCACTGCAGTGACGTGTTAGTTGGCACAAGAGCACTGAAAAGGTTTCCTTCTTGCCATCACTGAACTCATTGGTGCTTCCACCAAGCCCTTCAGTGGGCAAAGTTTATTTCAATGAGGATTCAGCTGTAAGAACTGGATGAACCTCATTTGCAGCACTTCAGAAAAGAACACAAATCCTTTCTATCTTACTGCTCAGTGCTTTACTGCAGAAGAACCATTGAATGCCCATGCTTCGATCCACGCAATTACTTGCATTATTTCCTTTAACTACCAGCAAGTTTAGTAAGATAAATTCCTATATTCATGTCAGCGAGCAACACTCAGCAGTGACACTGCAGGCAAGTCTCTAACCTCTTTATGAATTCAATGCTGTGAAAAATAAAACATCAGGTGAGCTGGCCGGTTTTATAAGGCCATGCACTATTCAATGCTCTAGATTTTCCTGTTTGATGCTCTGGATTTTCCTACTTTCACACACTGCCTCCAGCCCCAGGAACACTCATCCACTTCTGCCCCAATGAGTGACAGTTGAATCAAAAACCAAATGTGTTCCAGTGCCACATCTATGTGACACCGTTGGTTCTGCTCCTTCCTCTAGTCTTTTAGATTAATCTCCCTTATAGGACATTGGAAGCTCTTAACAGTTTCATGAAAATTCACAAAATAATATAAAATCGTAGTAGGTACAATTTCAATCTGTGAATAAAAATAAATGCCCAATATTTGTTATTAATACAAAAACAAATAAACAGCGACAACAAAAATCTTTTCAAAACCCTGTTTTTAAATTGAGAAGCAGAATGATGTCCATCAAAGAAAAAAAAAATTGAAACAACAGAACTGCAGAACCAACCAACTTCCCTAGCTTTTCTGCCTGGGGAGAAGACATAACCTTTTTCTCCCTTTTAACAGTGCTAACCTACATTATCCTCTCCTTTTCAGAAAACTTTTAGGTAGGCACCTTAAAATACTGGCAAAAACTAGATTATTTTCAGAGAAACTAGATTATTTTCGCCCATCACAATGCGCCCTTTGGCAAAGGGCGGCTCAGCAGGGACCCAACGTGCACCTCTGACTACAGCAGTCGCTGCCCTGGCTCTGCTGATCTGCAGCAGGAGACGGGAATTATTTCCCATCTGCTGCTTGAGAGGGTACAGCAGATGCTGCACCACAAATCCAGTTCCATTGCAAAGTAGCTCTGCTAGCCCTTGGAGGACTATATTTAAGTAGCAAAGAAGAACTCAACAGATTAGTATTAGCATAATATTATGCACGATACTTACAATTTGAAAGTGTTATGAAAGAATACTGCAGTGTCAACACGTATATAGAGCACAGTATCAATGAATGGTGAGAAAGGAGTGGAGAAATAATTCTTATAAAGCACAAGCATCTCTCCACCATGGTAAGAAAGGTGCAATGGTCATGGTTGCATTTCCTGTTGCATGTGTTTCATTTGCAAATGGTACTACAAAATCTCTGTGTTTTAACAGCAGATCTTCAAAACTCGCTTGGACGCAGTCCTGTGCCACGTGCTCTAGGTGACCCTGCGTGTGCAGGGCGGTTGGACTCGATGACCTCTAGAGGTGCCTTCCAACCTTAAGCATTCTACGATTCTATGTGCTTCACAGGTGAGCAAGGCTTTGTTCAGCGGAAAAATCCACATCATAAATATCTGTGTAACCACAAATAATATTTCTAGTAAATTAAGAGAAGAGTTAACAAATGCTAGGCTGATTCTGCAGTACCACTAGCCCATGACAGCCCTTGAACTGCCTGAACACTAAACTGTGCATCATGCAGTAACGTTATATTTCATTCAAGCCAAACCAAAGCCATTGATCCCAAGTAGTTTGCCAATACGATCAGCGTAGCTCAATCATGAAGGCGCTACAGGTGACCTTGCAGCATAATCTTCCTTACATTGTTTTCACCTGGATACATCTTCTCATATAGTGATTCTGATGATCTGCATGTGGGAGTAAAAAGGAAGCTCCAGTCCTGCCCATAACCCTACTCCTGGCCACAGAGACAGGGTAGCTGCACCTGCCATCATGCCACGAGCAAAGACGTAGGCAATCTGAATGTACCCAGTCCTGGAGAATAGAAATTTTGGCTCAGATGCACAAAAATACTTCCCAGTGATGTTTCATTTAAGCCAAACCAAAGCCATCGATCCCAAGTAGTTTGCCAATACGACCAGCGTAGCTGAATCATGAAGGCACTACAGGTGACCTTGCAGCACAATCTTCCTTACATTGTTTTCACCTGGATACATCTTTTCATATAGCGATTCTGATGATCTGCATGTGGGAGTAAAAAGGAAGCTCCAGTCATGCCCCTGACGCTGGTGAGGCCATGCCTCGAATACTGTGGTCACTTTTGGGCCCCTCACTACACAAAGGACATGGAGGTGCTGTAGTTGAGTCCAAAAGGAGGGCTACGAAGCTGGTGCAGGGGCTGGAGCACAGACCTTGTGAGGAGCGGCTGAGGGAGCTGAGGTCATTCGGTCTGGAGAAAAGCAGGCTCAGGGGAGACCTTATAGCTCTCCACAACTGCCTGAAAGGAGGTTGTAGTGAGGCGGGGGTCGATCTCTTCTCCAGAATAACTGCCGATAGGACAAGAGTAAATGGCCTCAAGTTGCAGCAGGGGAGGCTCAGGCTGGATATTAGGAAAAATTTCTATATGGGAAGAGTGGTGAAGCTTTGGAACAGGCTGCCCAGGGAAGTGGCGGAGTCACCATCCCTAGCAGTGCTCAAGAACGGTGTAGATGAGGCACTTAGGGACATGGTTTAGCAGGCCTGGTGGTGCTGGATTTATGGCTGGACTTGATGATCTTGAAGGTCTTTTCCAACCCTAGTAATTGTATGATTCTATGATAAGCTAAAAAATTTACATCAGGCTGGAAGACAGAGCGCATTTCTAAAATCTTGGATTTTTGACACAGGGAATGGGGCTGGATTGCTGTGTACTGGCACTTTCTACCTTCTCATTCTGTGCCCTTCTTGTGATGCAAGCCATTACATATTGAAATAATATTTAGGTTTGCTGTTGGGCTCATTACTGGCGTAATTTAGAACATATGACCAGCCACCAGCCTTACAGAATACATTCAATTTTCAATGAAGTGGCAATTTCCAGAGGGCAGTGACCATAAATGAATGACGATGCACCAAAGAAGAAAGAATGAAGCTGACAGCCTGTCAAGAATTTTCCTGATGTGTCCCCCCCATTTAAAAAATTACTGTAGGAGACAGAAGAGCAAGCCAACTTTCCCATGAGATACCTCCTTCCTTTGCAGATTAAAAATAATCTCTCTCGCTTTAAGTTACTGAGGCATGAGCAGCTTGTGGCAAATAATCCTCCAAAACAAAATAAATGGCTGAAAACAGTGAGTCAAATTCCTCCTTTTCGCGCTGGATCAGTTTGACTTGGGATGAGTCATGGATCTTACTCAAACCAGCCCCATCCTACCAGCTGAACATTTCCCCCAAATTTTCCAAACCAGTTGCCTCCAGATGCTGCTTTGCTGCCTTTCCCTGCAGGCGCTGAGTCCAACCCAACCAAAGGCCCACACAGCTCCTTGGCTGTTTGGCGAGCTCGTGGGCAGCCGAGGTGGCCACCAAGCCCTGTGCCCCAGGCCTGGGGTGACACTGCCCTGCCTTCGCTTGCCCCGCGCCTCTGAGCGCGCCTGCAGCGAGCTGGGCTGCAAGACTGCGCCTCCCGGCTGGATCCAGGGCCTTTTACTCAATGATCTCAGTGATGGCTAAAAGCACAATAAAATTATAGAACATACAGAGCATACAGAACATCAATGGGGATGCTTCTCCAATTTAGTAATTTAAGATACAAGAACACCAAAAAAATACATTGGGGACTCAAAACTGTAGTTTGAACCTGGTCACGTCCCACAAGGCAAACATTTCTAAGTGCATTTCTCTTTTCTTGGAGCAGATATTTAAAAGCATCAGCCTTGGTCACAGTGTTGTCCATACTCAGTTCTATATGCTTACCCAGACAGACTACATAGTATGTGTATAAATATACATACCCGACTTGGGTACAGTCTCGATATGGCAGCACTGAAAATATGCTACAGAAGGATCTTCTGCTGCTGATAAGGACTATTCTAAAATATAAAAGAAAACAAAAAAAGATCAAAGACTAAAATTTAAAAATCCCACCACAATATGCAAAGCAACAGACGTTATCATCAAGGAATTTGTAATCACAAACTTCTACCATTGACAATTTCTCCCTCTTCTTTTTAATGCGTGACAGCTTTCATCTCACTGATAAGGTACAGCGCAACCAAATCTTCAGCGCGGTGCCGAGGGCTGTGCCTTACGTCACCCAGCCAGCGAGTCGCAGGGTGCCATCCCCTGCAGAGGCTTTCTAGGAGGAATATATTGAATAAATTTTACTCGTAATTCAGACTGGATTTTTTTTCTAAGAGTCCTAGTGAACGAGAGCCCATCAGGAGGGCCGAGAAGCTCTTCTGATGGCTGACCACTACGTCTCAACCAGAGCAAGTCCTTCTCCCTCAAGGCCTATCACTGGATTTGCAGCTGCACAAATGACAGATACAAATGTCACGTAAGCTTTGGTCTCACCTTTAAGGTCAGCACACAGCCCGGAGAGCACAGAGCTTATCTTGGGAGCCACCCGACTCTTACAGCAAATGCCTGGTGTTTTTCAACCAGTTTCCAAATCCCGGCATCATCTTGCAAAGTTGCTGTGTAGCATTTAATTGAGCACCGTAGAGCAGCCCAACCATTTTACATCCACACTGTTACTTTTCACCACCAAGCTCTGACTTATCAGTAAACAACACCAAAACCCATGGGTTTCCAGAAACCCATGTGAACTGCCATGAGCTACATAAGTAAAGCTTGGGGAGAACCAGATGGGCAAGATGTCAAGAGAGACTTCATCAAGATGTATGGATATATAATATTGATAAATAATTGTTTATTTATAAATATAGCTTCTTTCCTCAGTAGGTTCAGGACGCTGCCAGTCGTGTAACTGTACAACGAAAAGTCCCTTCTCCTGGCCCAAACTGGCCAACACTCTGAACCCCGGCGTATTCCCCTAAGACATGATGAGGGCAGCCTGTGCACTTCCAACCTGACGAGCATTAGGTTTTCCTCATGCTGATACTAAAAAGCTCCACTTATGGTCCAAAATACTAATATTATCGATTGGCTTTTCTTTGGGGTTCTTTCATTTCCCTGCTCTGCTCTCCAACGTTGATGCTGTTTGCCACAGATCAGCAAGGGGCCAGGATTACACACCATTTTTTTGCCCTGTGCGGGTCAAAGCTGCATGACAAACCCTAGCAAACTATTTTGTTCTGTGCTGTCTGAATATCAGCAGATGCACCTGTGAGTCTTGCACCCAACATGCTGTTTTTAAAGCACTGTTTTCTTATGGGACCAACTCAGTCATAATTCTTGGAAATCAAATAAAAGGTTTATGTCACCAAGAGAGCTGTTGCATGTAATTATCAGCTATTTGGAAAAACGAAGGACAATCAACTTTCCTTCTCCTGGATTGTCCTACTAGAGCAATTTCATTTTCTTCTTTAAAAGCAAATTTAAGAGCAAAGTGCCATTCTCCTTGTGACAAAGGATGGTGTCTAAGAACAAACAAGCACACAGCATTAGAAAATTCTCCTACAGCAGAAACCATAGGATCTCACTGTTTGTTTGAATGCCATAATACTCATTACCTATGATAAGCATCTCATGAGCTATAAGATACTGTCATGGTGCAGTAGTAAACTTACTTTGCAGAGCAAAATCATTTTTCACGCTGGGGCAAGGCAGTCAGCAAGCAAGAAAACCTGAAATAGGATTAATTCTGTGCTTGCCATAGCTTATGGCTGAATGGTTATTACTCACAACAGCTTTCTTGTTCCCTGAAAGCCTTGTTTGCTCATGTATGAAACTTGGCACAGATTTTGAGGCTGACATCAGAAAGCATCTTTGAGTTTGGAAAACCACAGTTCCCACCAGGCTATCCTCCCCATTCCCTCTAGCTGCTTCTGGAAATACAGCTTCTCCACCAGCGCCTTACTAAGAAAATATACTCCTACTGTTTAAAAAAACACTGATGCTTTCCACATCCACAAGCAGGGGCAACACTGCGAACCTACCATGGAAATGTTGCTGTATCAGAGGGAAAAAGATCAGCAGGACATAACAGGCATTAGCTTTGATTCCTTTTCATTAAGACCCAAACGCCACGTCTGCGCTGCCATAAGCCATGGGATCCTCGTGACACAAGGATCTCCCAAGCAGGGTGGGCAGCCCAGGAGCATGAGCAAAGCTGTGAAATACAGAGCAGCGACACCGCACAGCTCTGCAGCACCCCGAAAACTCAGCTCAGCGGCCGGCTCTCAAGGAGACCCAACACCGACACTTCCAGGGCCCGTATAAAAAGCAGTCAAAGACAGGCGGACCTTTTACGAGGCCTAAGACAGCCTCCATCTCAACCACCTGGTCCAAAAAGCGAAACAATCAACTTTGGATCCCTAGGAAAAGAGAAGACCAGAGCTGGCCCATGGTAACTGTTCAGAAGCTGAGCATGGAGGCACAAAGCAACATTTTAGTTAGAAGTTCACAGAAGGTGAAACAGTGCTATCTGTTGGTCCAAAAGGCCCAGAAATTTGTTTCGAGTTTGCTTTGAGAAGGAAGGTATGGTGGAAGCTGACTGTTGTTTCTAAGAGAAAAATGCTTTCTTGGCTTTTAACTTTTCAGTAAAGAGCACCTAAGATGCTGCACAGCTCCAAATCAGCTCTCAGCAGAAGTAGCCCAGGACGGAGTGGATTTACATGCCCCGGTTGCCCCTGTGCCATCTAGACATGTTTAAAATTGCCGCGTAGCAAGGCTTGGTTCTTTCCTTCTCACAGAGCAACCATCATGTGCAGTAGTCCAAGAGCATTCAAAGCAAATCTTCCAATTTATTTAAGGAGACGTATGCTCTAAAACTACAGAAAATTGCCGAGCACAAGGCTCTCAGCAAAATCTGTACCTCCTGACTAAAGGAACTTTCTGTAATCATGCACTGTGACATACACTATGCACACTCTGTACACCCTGAACATCATAACTCCTTTTCTTACACCTGATTCATTAAGTTTGATATGGGGGCTTTGCTCCTGCATGCAAGAAGCAGACACGTGAAGAACGTCCTTTCGGAGTCTCCCAAGTTCAAACTGGTACTATTTGAAAGTGGCTGAGAGTAATTTCAAACAGTGACGACACTGCAAATATTCAGCCTCTGTGTGTGCATGCGTGTGTGCCTGTCCCAACGATTGCAAGGGCAGCAAATAGTGTGTGGATCTGCTTTTCCAATGTGTCCCTGCACAGCCTATGAGTTCTGTTTGGTTTTGGCCAAAGAGTACATAGCAGAACTGCACGCTAATAAAAACTCGAAAAAGCAATAGCATGGGGGTGGGGAAATACTATTGTTTTACTGCTTTTATACCTGCTCTATGGGCCAATTCTGGAAATGATCTTGTCACATTCTCACCCTGACCTGTTTGTTCAGCTGGCTCACTGTGCTGTTTGGTGGCCTCTTCTGCTAGATAGGAAATCTGCTTCAACGGTTTATGAACGACACCACCAAGAAACCTGCTGAGTAGAGGAGTTTCACTGGGTGAAACCATGTGCCACTGGCTACATTTGCTGATTTGTCTGCTAGGGTTGGCATGGTTTTGTTTTTTAATGAGCAAATTACTTCACCCTGTTTTACAAGACTGCATCGGTAACACAGTCCAGAAAACCTGGTCTTCCATAATAAACCATGCCCCACAGATCCAAAGATACTGGTTTAACCAGCACGTAAAACTATCAACATGAAGCCAACAAGTAATCACACTGTGGTCAGCAGAGGTGGTTTCTCGCCATGCTGAACTATTTCAAGCCCAACTATTATTTTAACCATGGCCAATATGGGGAGGACATGAGCTGTGAAGGTGTGAAAGCACTCAAAAACTCTCCTCAATTTAGGCTGAATCCCTAAAACAGCTTCACCTAAATTTTCAGGAGCCCTTTTTATCTAGCGTGGCCATTAGTTTCAGTGAGGGCAGTGGTGTGCAGACCCCTGCAAAAACAGGGTACTACTTCAATTGCTTACTGCTCGATTCGGCTGGCCTTCCGCAGACACAGTGTGTTGACTTTACTTTTTATTTTTAGCTAACATCTCTGGGACTCTTTGTCGATACGATGAAAAGCATTTCAAAAACAATGCATCTGACTCTTATTGTATCTGTGCTCCAGATAAATGGATCTTTATTATGGTTATGGAAATAACCTGCAAAACTGCGCGTGCTGATAAAGATAAGCTAGCTGAATAATAGAAGCTTACTCACTGCTTTCTTAACAAGAAAAATATTCTGTTTTCTTATCAAACATAATTACTGATATATAAACTCAGATAAAATGCTGTGTGTATTTTAGAGATACATTTTTGCAGCAAATGTGGAAAAAAAGTCTTACTTTGTAGATTATTTATGAACCACTTATGCATTTTTATAGGTAATATTTTTATCACGCTTATACATATATTTTATACGCACATCTCAGAAATTAGTCTTTGTGGAATTTGCATAATACTTTATGAATATATATTTTCCAGTGTTAGAAATTCCCAGTGCAGATGTATATGTGTTATGCACAGAACAGACTAAAATTAGGGGTCTGCTTTATAGAGTTTGATTCCACATGAATTTGTTAAGACAATAACAAGCCATTAGATAACAGTTAGCGGTTTTGCATGCATCTGTCTGCAACAAAAGTGGTGTCTAAAACCTCTTGGAGTGGTGTCTACCACCTCTGAGAGCCACATTCTAAAATGTTTGTGTTGATTAGTCCTGCTCGCTACATTTGTCGATGTGACACTAACCACGGGGAAAACTTCTCTAGCCAAGCGCCACATTCAATTCACACAAACGGTTGTTCAGTATTATATTAAAAATGCTATCGAGAGGGTTGCACATTTGTTGAAAACCCAGTGGCCACGTGCAACACACACCGTAGCACGGGTGCGTATGTACGTACAAGGGTGCACAAGGGCTAGTGCTCAGTGCACAGCTGGGTCTGCTTGCTCTCCTCATGGCCAGGTTTGGAAGGACATGCATAGAATAAAACACCCACAGAGATCACCTTGGAAAGCAATACAGAGGATGGGTGTCATCCTTCTTGGCAGGGAGGAGCTAGTTTCACATCAGAGTCGAGTGGCAATGCAATACAGACCCTATACGTTGACAGGAACAGCAGAATGCACCATGTGGTGTGGAAGGTACCCGATGTCTGCTGCTATATATATAGGTCCACTGGCACCTATGCCTGCAGTCAGGTAGCCCACAAACCAGCCGGTCCTGTCACCTGGGCAGGTTCCGCCACGTGCCCCATCTTACATCTACCCTCTGGCACTGTCCTCCCAGAAATGCAACCTGCCTAGCCTGATGGCACCACTCATTTTCCTTTTGCACAGTTACTTGTGTTACAAAGATACCGACCTTAAAAATCTCCTGGAGGGCAATTCCACTGATTAATAATTTATTCGAGCAAGGAGTGCACACTGCAGCCTCCACGCTGGGAGATTCATTAATGGCTACTATTGACTGGGTATTAGGTGATTTGCAATGGGCCCCGGTGCTGTTTCACAGGGGTATCGAACCTTCCGTTTCCCCCCTGCCCCAGGAATTGCCTCTGGAGCAGTAGCCTTTGCATGCACGGTACCTGCCGTTCCTGGTGTCGTGCTGCCGCATGTTCTTGATGAAATGAACCTTCTTAAAGTTCTTTGGTCTGGGGGATCCTGAGAGAGTCCGACATCTGAAAAATACATCAGTTGGGGGAGAACAGGGGAAAACAGACAAAAAAAAAAATAAGCGTATTCAGTTCCCTGCTGCACAGCAGAGAAGTCTACACAAAGGCAGGAAGGAAAGACTAGACAAATTATTCAAGTCACCCTCGTTTAGGAATCAGCAACAACAATGAAGACAATAAGTCTGGAAAGGTGACAGCTCAAATAAAAAAAATATTTAAAATAATAAGAGAAAGTGCCAGCACCCTCCCTGCATGATAAAAAAGTTAAACAAATCTCAGCAAAATAAAACTTCCTGTCATCTGCTGTGATAGCTTAGATTTTGCTTTCAGAGGAAAAATAATGAAATGGAATCTGGTAAATCTTTATGTGTTTCTTCCTCCCCACACCATCACACACACTTTTGGATCCTCCTCAGCTTTTGCTAAAGGAGTTATTGAGAAATGTTCTTTCTTGTTTTAGTTTTAGAAAAACTAAAATCTTGCATTTACAAGGGTGATCCCTATTTACTTTTAGCTCTAAGTATCAGCTTCCACGTTCCCAACAGCATATTAACCAACAGGAAAATAAACTCAGGAAAAATCTCTCTTCAAAACCTTGATCCTTAGAGCTCTGTTTTACATTTCAACTTGCTTTTTTAAGAACGGCAGCGAGAGGAGGACAGTGGCCCTGGAAGGAGCAAGGAGCCCCCCTCCCCATGCTGCCTGGCTCTTCCAGTCCCGGGGAACCCAGGCCGTGCTGTGCCAGCTCTCCTGCTCTCACGTCCCCACCGCCTCCGCAGCAGGGGCACCGAAGCAGCCGCCGGGCTCGGGGGCAGACGGGGGGTTCCACCTGGCTTTTTGGAGAGCGGGGTTCACAGCCAAGGGGTTCACAGCCAAGGCTATCGTGGCCACTGCTAGATACCAGCTGCGGGGACAAACTGCTGTAGTGCTTTGCATTTTCACTTTACTTGGCTATTTTTTACTTTCATTTTTTAAAAATTTTTATTTACTATCACTTTTCTTCTTGCTAGCGAAATCCTCGCAATTACCTCATCCCAGAGTTACAATTACTCATTTCCTTCTTTATGGGAATATACCACCACGGGAGTGATACTACCAACATTTCTGTTAATTAGCAACTAAATACTGCTTCAGCAACCAGACTCTGCCTGTATCTTTTGCAAAGTCTGTGCATTTGAATCATTTGTGGGAACACTTCGTAACACACTGGTCAGTGTTCAGCAGAGGCTGGGTAAAAACCATCAAGTTTTGGGAACAGGCCAGTGGATAGAGGCTCTGCTATGAAGTCTGTGCTTCCAGGTAGGGAGAGACGGCCGAAGTGAGTGTGCATAAACAGGCTATAGGCTAAATACTGATATAAACCAGCTGAATTACAGCTCCCAAGATCAAGGGACACTGAAAATTAAGCTGCTGCCTGGCCAGACAGTGAGCTGGGAGCAACCATGTGCCAGCCACATCACTGATCAGTCCATGCAGGAGCTGTTAAACACTTGCTCTGTCTTCCCTTGCCCCTCACGATGCCCAGGGACTAATCTCTGTGGTCCTCAGAGAAGCTGTTGCCTCTTGGGGGTTGGGTGTTTCAATGAGGGCAAGGATAGCAAGTTTATCCAAGCTTATACCCTACGGACACGTGGCCAGAGAGATAGTAAATACAATGACCTCCGCAGCGGGGCATTTTCCTCAATGTCCTCCAGGGTCTCCAGAGAAGATCGCTGGGAGATCAGCCGGCGCCTGCAGAGTAAACAAAACACAAGAGCACCCTTGGTTAGAGCAAGAAAGTACTCAGAGCAAAAATACTATTTCATAAAAGCTTCTATATCAAAATGTAAATTGCAACTTTCCACTCTTAACTCTTCCTTCCCATTTTTTTCTGTTTTCAAATTTTCCCTTCTTTCAAAGGGTTTACTGCCCACCTACCACCAGTTCCCCCTTTGCCACGTTGCAGCTTGCAATACTGTAATTACAGCTCTGCAATGAACAACAAGGACAGAGGTGCAGCCGGCCCAACTCTGGCACACATGCTGATACGGGGGATGCTGCTGCTTGCAGCTCTTCCCTGTTGCTCCCTGCCCACAGCTTTTAACAAAAACTGCCACTCACGTCTTGGCAGTGCCTGCTCTGCTACTATCTCATCCCCCTCGTGGGAAGCGATGAAACAGAGGGAAAAAGAGGAGAGAGTTCCTAGCACTGGGTACAAAAAAACAGCAGTTTTAAAAGGCGCCCTATCACTCCGAACAGCACAGAATAGTTTGCTTCTGTTTTAAACCAATTTTCTTCACTTGCGCATACAAAAAACCAGCAGTTTTAAAAGGCTCTCTATCACTCCAAATAGCAGAATAGCTTGCTTGTGTTTTAAACCAATTTTCTTCACTTGCGTCAGATCCCTCCCCATGCTGTTCTGAGATGAAGTTGTAAAGGAAATGTCACCCTTTCTTTTTGATTTTTTTCACTGTTGTGGTGGGCAGGGAAGAAGCTCCAGTACAGGGCTCCTGGAGCCAGGCTAGAAATCAGATTACTGAAAAGTTTTCAATTCAAAACAACCCTGAGGTTCGGTGACTCAGATTACTACTAGATCAAACACCAGCTTGGTACCACTAACCCCCAGGGAACACATTTCAAGACTGACTAAATGTGTACATGGGTTTTCGAGTACTTAGAAAAAAATCATAAAAAATGTCCTCTAACAATTTATAGAACAACTAAATGTAAAGCACAATCCTCTTAGGAAAATATGCAAACCTGCCTCCCCCTCAAATTTGTCAAAATTCGAATTTTTGAGGATCTGGCCTTAGACACCATGCACCTTCAAAATGCTACTAGTGACGAGGCAATCTGCATTTCAGGATATTTTGAACTTGCTGACACACAAAAAGATGACACCAGCCATAAGTCTCCTGTGTTCCACTGATGGTCACTGTACAGAGACATTTTTCTAGGGAGAAATGGAAAGCAAGAAGAGCTCCCTTCCATTTTCAGTTCCATTTGTCCCTAAACAAAGGTGGGAGGCTTCAACTACCAGCACCACTTGATGTGGCAAATGTCATCCATTGCTTTTTAATAGCTCTTACTAAATGTTATTGGCTTAATAGCACACTGGGGCAATGATTCTCTCCTATCTTGTGCGGTTAAATGAAAAAAAAAAAAAAAAGAAACCTAAAACTTTGCATGCTCATTGGTCAAAGAGAGATTAACAACACTACCACCTTAAACATATCAAGCTAATAATATATTTACCTAAATGCTGCAAGGCACTTGTACCCCACTAGATGCATATTGCAACCACTATCATGACTCCCCTCCAGCCTGTCCCTCAAAGCTACTCATCACTCTCAACATCTCTGCTGAGGGTTGCGTTGAGTTGGGTTTGAAGACTGTCCCGCATTCACCGGGGGGCAGAAATACACCCGTATTCACCTTCCCAACCGCCCATCTTTCACCTTCCCCGGAATCACCCCCCGCTGCGACGAGCCCGGCTCCCTGTGCGCCGTCCAGGCAGGCTCGGCTTCCAGGAGTTTACGCTGCCTGGGATCTGACCCGTCTTTCCGCTGAAGAGCCTCAGCCACGCTGAAGCATGTGCAATTATTCCATTATATCTTAAATCTTCATTTTCAGGCCTAATTAAGATGACCTAAATACCAACACACATAAGCCTTCCACAGCTGGATATTACGCCACAAATGCCAGCTAATGAACTTACCTACTGTGAACTAACTCACATCCTGTGCCACACACACATAAAAAGGAAAAAAAATGCTTTTGGAAAAGTGAAGCTTTTGAAAGGGCCAAGGAACACAGGCATAACCAGTTTTTCATTGCCTCCATTAAAAATTAACCACGTCAACTTGTATTTAATATTTAAAGAGATTTATCATATTCCTCTCTGTAGGCAAGCGTTGGTCAAGGCTTGTCTATGCAACTTTTAAAAGGGTTATTCTTCAAAAATTGATCAACTTCACCAGCTCATACATGTAGACTTCAACTCAAATAACTCAAACTCCTCTATACCACATATCGCCACTGATGCAAAGCTGTAGATAAGACAGGGGCTGATACCTGTTTTATAATGTGTCTTGCCTTTAGAAATAAGTAGGAGAAAATCCTTCTAGTGTTAAATAACAGTATCTACAAACAGACCCAAACAAAATAGTATTATATGACTCATACAGGATTCCTGCCTCTGGGATAATCTACAGGCATGTGAATCTTGAATACCTGAATGTTTTAAAACTTGTATAGGGTATATCTCAGCCAGTTAACACACATACAAATACAACTGGCTTTCATACTACAATTGAAGATGTTTCAGTAAAAACCTTATTTGCTCCTAGTCCAGACAAAGCCTCAAAGAAAACTGTTCCTCTAGCTTATCAAACTCATCTTGGGTAGCACATTTTTAGCTCCTGAAGACAGTGACCTCCTGGTTCTAAGGACAAGCCCTTGGAGCAGGTTGGTGATAGCGGTCTTGTGCAGCTTACTGACTTTTCTAGTTTAAAATCAGGTAAAACATTTTTCCTTAAAGATCTATCTAAAACAAACTTTTTTTCTTCCCTATTCACTGTACACTCTTCACATGACCCTAGAAATAGTTAATACCATAAAATCAAACTCCAATCCAAATCCAAAGCAAGAACTAAAGAGGTATTTAGTGCACTGGTATTTTAAATTGTTGCTTTCTAAGACTTTCATGATCCTGTCTGCACACTGGATTTATCAATGACCAGATGTCTGAATTTCTGTGTAAGTACCTTAAAATCCAAAATGTTGCCCATTTCCTCTCTCCAAAGTCAGATTAATGTGTCTCAGTTGCAAAAAATGAAATAAAGCACAAAGACGAATGAAAAAAGCAGGTCTGTAACTGAGAGAGCAAAGAGCCGAAGTGAGTACACTACAAAAAGGTTCACTGTAACCAACCCACTGATCTCTTGAAAATTAACTTCACCATCAATTGTTGCAAAATACTCAGCTCAATTATGTTAAGCACAAAATCTTAATCCCCACAGAAAGGAGGTGATAAAAATAAGGAACTGTAATCACAACTCTGGATAAAGCCATCCAGGAAGGAAGGAAGCAGATGATAATCCAAGAGATAAGGAAAAATAAATCCATGTGTAATGACTTTCTAGCACAGTTACAAAGCCAGGAGAAAATAGCTACACTTTAAATATCCTTAATTTTTGTGAAAGTTGTGAGTGGGCTGGTCCCCATTGCTTCTGTTAAGGTTTTGAACCTGCTACTTCTGGAGCCAATAGTGCGGATACCGCTGGCTCCCAGATCACAGTCACCCATCAGGACAAACTTCTCCCTTTTGCTGGGGAAAAAGTAATTTTTCAGGATGTTTACAGAGACACCTATCAAGTGGGTACCATGCAAGCCTGCAAGCATGAAGCCCACCCAGAAACCATGATTCTTGCAGAAACTGTGCTAGACCCGTAGCTCCGCTTCCATCTAACAAATGCTCTACTTCAGATGAACAAATACGTGCCTGAGGTCATCATGCTATGCAATTAGAGCTATCAAGGCACACACTAGTGGAAAGCGCTTGGACATCTTCTAAGTTAGCAAAGATGAAAGAGCTTTGGAGGGTAAAGACATCTCAGCAACTGAAGAGCGTTGGTGGTTCACATATCCATCTGGTCACCTCTTTCCCACTGTAAAACCTGCAATGGTGGGAAATAAAATCAGATACCTGCCCTGAAGCTTCAGCACCTGCCTAAAGATGTACAAGGAGAAAAGAGCCTTCAAACCTCCGGCTCGAGAGAATTAGGAGAACAGTACTATGCCAAAAGCTTTCTCAGTCTCCATCAACTCTACAGGGGCAGCAGAAAGACGGGTGGAAAACAAGGAGGGGAGAGCTATGACATGAACATGTCTCATTGCTACACTATTCCCAAACCAGATGTCTTACCTGCACTGCACTACTGTTACTATCCTACCTGTAGTGTCATCTAAATCCTTCTCCAAGCCTCATCCTTTCACAATTCACAGGGAGGGAGCTTGGAAAAATACTGCACAAACTGCTACCTACTGACTTGTCTGCATATAACATGCAAGTGTAGCAGATACACACACCACCATCCTGAAGATTGGATTTTTCTAGACACATCAAAAGTTTGCCAACAAATTTTCTCTGTGTCAGATACAGAGTACAAAAAGAAATAGTGACAATATTATTCTACTGCTTTTTCACAAGGTGCCAATGAAACATAGTATTTTGTTCATAAACTTTTGTGTAGTTTTATGCAGTTGTTCTTTTTAATGGCTGGGAGCTTTCTGTCATGACCCTGTCCCAGCACACCACAGTCACCAGCTGCACCCGGTGGACTTGTATCAAATACAATATCAGGACGAACAGCACTGTGAAGAGATGGAGTCATATGAGTGCATCCCCATTTGGGGATGAGCAATCCCCAAGCACTGATTTGAGGGTCTCCTCCATTTCTACCTTCCTCAGCTGGATTCCCAGCTCACGGCAGATAGATTCTGTTTGAAACCATCTTCTCTGTAGGCAGCTGTGTCTGCCCCCAATCCTCCTGCTCCTGGCCCAAAGGAGGAGCTAAGCAGCACTCAGGAGGACACACTGAAAGACAGCAGAGCTCTCAAAATCTCTGAAAAACATCCCGAACCAACATCCTCCGTGATGTGTAACCAACGCTCTGCAGATCAACTGTCCTCTGTTAACTTCACTGACCCTGCGGCAGCGTGACGGCTCCGAGACAGCTTGTGTGCAGTGATTTACTGT